AGACAAGTTGCTGTCCTTTTGTTCTTCAGTCTAGTTGTGGAGGACGTTGCTTCACTGGCCCAAGTTGGCACCATCATTGCGCTCTTCCCAGGTGAGGCACATCAGTCGCCAGCTTCTGGACGACCGCTCACTGCGGCTGCTGGCCGCTCACGCTGGCTGCCGGCCACACAGGGTAGCCCATGGCAACCCACTGCAACAGGGACTGCAGCCTACGCCATCGCCAGCGACCCATAGCAGTCCAGCTCCAGGTTGAGCTGTCGTTCAGCATCTCAGCTGTGGAGGGCAGTGTCACTGTCCCTCACATGTGGGATCCGAACCGGGGCCCTCTGGCGTCCCAAGCCAGCCCTCAACCATCGCGCCACCCGGCTGGCCCTGGAGCTTTTGAGTACAATAAAATCTGTGTTTTATACATTCATTCTGTTTAATTCTTAGTCCTTTAGTTCAGAAATTAATTAAATTGGAATTAAATAAATGAAAAATGTTAAATCCATAAGGAACAGATTTAACTGGACTCTGAATTAGTTCTCTTAAAATTTATAATAATAGTGAAAACAAGAGGAGAAAGCAACCATATTTTGAAAGAAGAAAAACGTTTACTAACCTTGTTAACTTGTGTTACAGGTTGCAAAGTTAAATGATGCTGAGAGGGAGCTCTCTGAAATTTCTGAGAGACTAAAGGCCTCAAGCAGAGGTACGGCAATGACTCATTTATAAATATTTACTGAGTGTCTACCATACGTAGTGCACTGTGCGAGGCATTGGGCTACACTGGGTAATAACATATACAGAATATGAAGCCTTGCTTAGGAGCAACAGCATTTTGGAACTGGAAAGAACATTATAAATTATTTTGTGAACCTCTTTACTTAATAGATGAAGGGAATGAGGCCCATTGAGGCAAGGGGACTCCCCACAGTCTCTCAGCTCTAACCTTTTTCCTTATTCCTAATATCTGTAATGTCCTCTGCCCAGCCCTATGTTAGCGACTTTTCTTTCTTTTCTTTTTTTTTTTTTTAAGATTTTTGTTGGGGAATTGGGGGGATGGGAACAGTGCTGAGGAATTGGGGTAAGGGGAACAGACAAGTTGCTGTTGTTTTGTTCTTCAGTCTAGTTGTGGAGGACGTTGCTTCACTGGCCCAAGTTGGCACCATC